TTAAAAGCCTGGTAGACCAGTACCTCTGCTAAATCCTAAAGAATTGTCACATGACCATCAAGCCACGCCTACAAAATAAGCCACGCCCACAGAACCGGTAGTAAAAATGTAGAACCCACCCCTGCCACTTTCCTGGTATTGAACAATGCCATTAGTCCCACAAAAAAACATCTTTTTTTTTTAACACACACATCTCAATAGCAACAGTCCCAAACTGGATCCTTCACTCACAAACAAGCAATTACAAATTCTCCACTACCTCCTGGATATGCCCAAAATTATTCACTTGGAGATAATTACCCACAATTTAAGAACCTCTGGGCTTTAGCAACCATTAAAAAGAAAAAATTAAAACTCAGCCATGTGAAATATGCTCATCCTGGTCTGTATTTTTTCCTGTTCTATTAATTTCCTAACTATTTGGTAGAAGTACATTTTCAAAATGCACTGGATGGGCAAACATGTCACCATTCGAACTGGCCAAGGTAGGAAAGTTCCAATTTGACTTACGGCCACTGGCTGTATCCAAAAGATCAGTTCACCCTCTTGCGTGCATACATAGCATTAAAAATAATGTGAATGCAGCTGAGAGCACCAATTCTTACATGGGGTTACGAGTGTGTGTATTTATGCTTATCTTTGCAGCATCTGCTAAGGTGAATTTCCCTGCAGCTGAACTGCTTTGTTGTAAGCAATAACTTGCTTAGTGCTGCCATCTAATGAGTTCCCTTTTGACTGATTTGCCAGTAGAACATTGAGACTCGTAGTCCCAGCTGCTCAGAAGTACTGTATGGAATAATTGTTGTTCTAATACTCTGAAATGCCATATAACAAACAAGTTTATGGTTCTGGTTTGCGCTTGATATGGTGTTATATATTTGGTCTTGACTTTAACCTGCAATAAAATGTGGGAAGCTGGCCCTTCCTGGATTAATAGTTCAAAGGTGTTCGCTGTTCTATAATGCTCGCACCTTTATTTGTTTCTTCCCTCCAAAATAGAAACAGTGATCTCAAGCGATTTAATATTTTATATAAGAAAAAAAAAACTTGGAGAAAAAAGTTGAGAGATTCACAATTGCTAGCCCTGGGACCATACTTGGCCTCTTTGGATTGACCTATCCAAGAAATATAATATTTTTATTGGTTGTCTCTATAGACATTTCTAGACCACTCCTGTCTGGTGTTCATGGGAGGAGAACCAGACATCACTGCACCATCACTTCCTCAAGGAAAGTCTCCTAAAACGATTCTTGATGGGGAAGAAAGACCCAAATGTTTCAAATGCAAATCATACAGATAATAGTTCCTGCCTACCTAGCAGTTTGAAAGCATGCAAGTGTGAGTAGATAAATAGGTACCACTTCGATGAGATGGTAGCAACATTTTGTGCGCCTCAGGGTGTAGTTATGATGGCCATATGGCCACAGAAGTGTCTTCGGGCAACGCTGGCTGCCTCAGCTAAGAAAAGGAGATGAGCACAACCCCATGACTAGACAGGGGACCTTTACAGACAGTAGTTAAGTTCAGATAGTAGTTAACTTCTGAACACTATCCAAGAATAAAATAAAACAACTGAGACTTCTGATTCTTCCCCTTTTCAGTTAGTTATTGTCTAGTATCTTTTTTAGAAAGTGAATCAATGTTTGTGTTTCGTATAGAAGGAAGTTGGAATTCTGACAGCTCTTCATTGCGTTCTTTCTTTTTTAATCAAAAGCTGCATTTTATTAGAAAAACCATTTCCCCCTTCAAAACTTTCACTTCACCCACACCAATTTAATGTTTTCCTGGAACTAAATTAGCAATTAAAGAATGGCCCTGGTCCAGCGAACAGTTGGCTCCGTAATATAGTTCCATCTCTGAAAGTATGCAGGTCTGGACTTGCTTAGTACCTGGGTGGAATAATGTCTTGTGGAAGAGTGGGTAATATGAGGAATAATTTAAAATCACACAAATGCACATACACATCCTTCAGAGTCAGACTCAAATATTTCCTGTTTGATCAGACTGATATTTTTACTGGAAGTTTAAGTAGGGTTTTGAGAAGGTGGTATCTCCAAAATGACCTTCATGAAAGAGGCTGTCTTACTGCCAAGTTGGTATTAGGAGAAGAGAAATAAATTTACACCCTTCTTGTAACTGATCTATGATCTATGTGTAGTCACTTGAGGATGACCCCCAGTTACAGTTGTTCTGGCTAGTACTGTAATCTAAATGATGGAATACTGGCTACTATATTTTAGATGACTTTTTTTTTTTAAAAAAAAGTTCACTTGTAAAGAAGACGATTGTCAGTAGCTGCTAGTTATAAAAGCTGTAGGGCAGGGGTATCAAACTCAAGATTCGCAGGCTGGATATGGCCCACGGGGTGCTTAGAACTGGCCCGTGGGGCCACCCTGGAAACAGTGAAGGACCAGCCAGTGGTGCCTCTGCCAGTGAAAACAGGCTCCCAATCTTCATTTTCAGCTGGGACGGCCTCCTGCAACCCTCTGCCAGTGAAAAAGGAGGTCGCGTGCGGCCCTCCCAATCTCCATTTTCACTGACAGGATTGCAGGAGGCCGTCCCAGCCGAAAATGGAGATTGGGAGCCCGTTTTCTCTGGCAGAATACTTGGGCCACCACATGTGCCCCTGACACGAGTGACGTCAAGTTGGCCATGCCCCCTGCCCACACCCCCCCCCAAGGTCAAACACAACCCTGATGCGTCCCTCAATGAAATGTAGTTTGACACCCTTGCTGTAGGGTATTGCCGGTGTCTGAAGTAGTATGCCACTGAACGTCAGCTGTCTGAGAAGTAAAAGTGTTTGGAAAACCACCTCTCAGCAAAACGAAGTTGTTGCTGTGAGGAAAAGTAGGACGACTAAGTGCAGTGTGTGCACCCCCTTGAGCACCTGCATGAAAAGCAAGACATAAATCAAATTAATAAATGACTAGTTACAGTAAGTCTGCCTCATTAAGATATTTTAATAAATTAATCCCAGTATCTCAAGATGTTTATGTTCACTCCCATGTTCCTAGATCCTGACGAATAGCTATGTAAACACTTGACCATTTTAATGTTGCCATTAGTTTATTAACAATATATTATTTTATGTTAATAACAAACACATACATACACACACACACAAGTTTTTTATATCTCTCCCACTTTTTTAATGATGCTAATTGACAGGAGCTTCAACGATTTTCAAGTTCAGATCCGTCATTTTTAGGACACTAGGTTTTTGAAAACTCAGGTAGTAGTTCTTGATTTTGCACTGGGGATACAGCTTTGAAGATCAGTAGGGGAGTTAGAAACAACTTCCTCCTAGAATCAGGGGTGGGTTCTACTTACCTTTACTATCGGTTTGCAGCGGGGCCGCGCAAGAATTCTTCTGCGCATGTGTTTTGATGACATCGGGTTCGGTGGGCTGAGCCTCGTGCCCGGTGCGAACCGGGGGCAACCCACCACTGCCTAGAATGAATGTAGACCGGGAGTGCACTTAAAGATTGATTTGGAGCAGTTTTTCTCAAACTGAACAATTTCAAGATGTGTGGACATGCTGCTAGGGAATTCTGGGAGTTGAAATCCATACATCTTCAAGTTGTTGAGAGACTCTGGTTTTGAGAGAACAGAACTAAAATGAATTTCTCATAGAAATGCAGTAGTCCAGAAATTACAGGCAAAATGGCCAATGATTTTGCAGATTAAGGATATGAGGTTCCAACAGATCTGGAAGGCATTATGTTAGGAAAATTTTCCATGGAGGGAAAGTCAAGATTGAGAAGGTGCTACATTACATTTTTCTGAATATTTAATATTGTTTTTGAACTTGAGAGTAAAGTGACAAAAAAAAGAGAACACACTAAAGTACCAAAACATGGGAAATTTAAAATTAATAATCAGCTATCATGGAACAAGCATACTGCTTTTTATAGCTTCAACTCTAGTGCAAAATTTTCAAGAGTTGGAAACAATTTGCATTAATTCTTTACATGTCTGCTTTTTCTGCTCAGCAAGCTTGACAGATGCATTTTGACTTGGCAGTTCTTCGTTTTATTTTATTTTTTTCTTGTTGGAACTTGCTGCAGCTTATTTTTCTGATACTTTCCAAGAACTGACATATTGTTTGACTGCCTTGGAGCATGTATTTATGTATTGTTGAGATGTCAAGATTCGTTTTTGTGCCCACCTGGAATAAAACACTCCAATCTTACATCAGGCCTGTGGTTAGTGAAAATTGCTATCGGACCAGAAGAGTTTCCAAATACCTTGTTTTGTCATATTACTGACATAGCAATCTGTGGGTGGTAGAATTCAATGTGAAATAAATCTGACTTGTTTAGAAGGCTTTGGTTAAGAACAGTGGTGGGATTCAAAATTTTTTACTACTGGTTATGTGGGTGTGGCTTGCTGGGCGTGGCAGGGGAAGGATACTAGAAAATCTCCATTCCCTCCCCACTCCAGATGAAGGTTATTGCAAAATCCCCATTTCCTCCCGATCAGCTGGGATTCGGGAGACAGAGAATAGATGGGGGTGGGGCCAGTCAGAGGTGGTATTTACCGATTCTCTGAACTACTCAAAATTTCCACTATCGGTTCTCCAGAACTGGTCAGAACCTGCCAAATACCACCTCTGAATCGGGTGTCTTTTTATAAATTCCGAGACCACTTTTGTTGCTTTTGTAAATTATCGTTATCTTTTCCCACCTATATCACCCATTCTCTCCAGCAGGCCATCTCTGCAATTGGATTGGAACAATGGAAGTTGAGTTGGAAAATGGCACTTACAGATTTTATTTTTTTTTCAGTTTGTAGAAGGGTTTGTGGGCCATGCCATGGGCTTCCGACACTGACCTCTTACTTAGGTTAGTCGTGACACAAGATATTAAAATATAGCCATAGGTTTCATAAAAGTTTTTGCAGTCAACATCAATTGATTCATTACTACCTGGAAATCTTAATATTAAAGAGGACACAAGTAAAGTTATGCTAAAAATTCCATCTGTTACTTTCTTTTACAGGAAAAGAAAATCAGAGTATCTCTGCCTTTAACAAGAGGACCAAGTGCCTTTATACCAGAGAAGGATGTAAGTCGTTTTTGTTTTTTCCTTTCTTTGAAGAAATGAACATGAAGCAGCAAAGCAGTGCAAAGAGATTATGGACCTATTGAATAATTTCCACCATGGCCATTTCAATTTACGGAATATCCCAACAGTTTAAAATCCCAAGCTTTGAATCAAGCTATTGAGGCTTAGTCTGATGTTCAGGAAATTCAAAAGCTTAATCTTTGGTAGCAAAACTTACTAAAAGTTCTATTTTTTTTCTCTTGTGAATTAAAATGGTTATTTTGAACCTGGATATTTATGTATTGGATTTTAAATGATTTGAATGCTTTTGGTTGTTAAGAATGTATCAGCTAGAGTGGACTGCATGTTATGAATATTTATGGCACATTAAATTATGCATTTTAATAATAGTCTAAGCTTCTTTAACTTTTTGAGGGGGGAAAAACTGTGTCAAGGAGGAGGAATATTAGGATAGATTTGAAAATAATATGAATCTGGTGGTGACTAATGATAGATCTTTATTTGTGCCTGTTGTGCAGGAATGTCCCCAAATTGTGCAATACAAAAATATGGCACTGAAAATTAAGGGGTTTTTTTTGGGGGGGGGGGTGTTTAAGGAAGAATTAGGATAAAACTGCAGCTAAATAGTCAGAATATGGGGAGATAATACACAGAGCAGTACTTTCTTAGTAATGGCTTAGCAATGATAGAATGGCTGGGAAAAACTTGTTTGGCCATTTCACCAGTGGATTTGGGCAATTCTAACTACAAATAGTCTTCAACTTATGACCAGAATTGAGCCCAACATTTTTGTTGTTAAGTGAGACCTTTGTTAAGTGAAATTGACCCCATTTTAGGATCTTTCTTGCCTAAATCACTGCAGTTGATAAGTTAGTAACCCGGTTGTTAAGTGAATCTGGTTTGACTTTGCTCGTCAGCAGGTCGCAAAAGGTGATCACATTACCTTGGGACAAAACAACGGTCATAAAAATGAACCAGTTGCCAAGCCTCTGAATTTTCATCACGTGACCTTGGGGGGGGATGCTGGAAAAGTCGTAACTCTGAAAAACGGTCATAAGTCACTTTGTTCAGTGCCATTGTAACTTTGAACGGTCACTAAATGAACTTCTGTAAGCCAAGGACTATTTGTATAAGCCATAATATAGTTGTTTTACTTACAACAGCCTAGACTGATCCTAAAAAAGAACCATAAGGACTTTGTCTTCTGTTTTTCAAATCCTTTCGTATTTTATTTTGCTGTATCTGGACTTAGGATATTGCTTCATTTTTGTTCTTTGCTCTGCCTACTTTTTCTGGTATTGGCCATAGAACAAAAAAAAAATAGATTGCTTGTGTCAGAATTGCCGCCTCACGCCTGTGCTCTGCAGTTGTTTCGGTACCAGTCTGCCATGAATCCGGTGGGGAAGGGGAGGAGGAAGGGGAGCACTTTGGGGGAAAAGTGAAAGTTAAGAAAACGAAGTTGCCTGCCCGAGACGGTGCTTCAAGGTCACTCCGCGATGAGAAGAATGCAGCTGCAAGCCAGCCTGCAATCAGAGTGGCCGTTTCCAAAACCTCTTCTTCAAAATTGATTGGACGATGGGGGATCAGCAATGGGAAGGGTCGAATAAGCGGGGAGAAATTTTCACTTGGGGTTTTGGCGCCCGAATTTCAGTTCTGGCTTTGCAGTACTGTAATTCACTTGACTTCTAGTACACTATACCTTTCTCACCAAATGGAGTTAAGGATCGTTTTTAGTGAGAAGATCAAGCTGAGGCAGGTCTGACATCAAGCCAGAACTACATTACCAATCCATCTGGAGAAATTATCTGCCATGGGGGGTTGTCCAAACTATACCTTTCTCAGCCCGATCGTGTTAAGGATCATTTTTACTTAGAAGCCTAAGTTGGGGCAGGTCTGACAACTTATCTTCAAGACTGATACTAGCTTTGTTGAACAGATTTTAGTTTAGCATTATGCTAAACCACTTAGGATAAACTACTGGGTTTCTTCCGATGGCCATCAGTGCGGCTGAAATTCTGTCGTACTATGGCTGATATTCTATATGTTTTGTTATTTTTTTTATTATTTTAGTTCTCTCTTATTTGCATGAGAATATGCATATGTATGTATGTATGTATGTATGTATGTATGTATGTATGTATGTATGTATTTTGTCATGTTTATGTAGTGTATATTATAGGTGGAGACCCTTTGAGACCTGCATGCAATGAAATTTCATTTTAATGTACAGTAGTGGCCAAAATTGTGGAAACCTTTTGGGAAAAGTGTATTTTTGAGGTTTGATGGCTCATAACACCAGGGTTTTTTTAGAGTTTCAAGATAATCATGTTCCGCTGCTGGAATGGCCTGGGAATAGCCCAGACCTTAACCCAATTGAAAATTTATGGAGCCAACTAAAGAAACTTGGTAGTCAGAAGCGACCCAGCAATCAAACCCAGTTAATAGAAGCAATCATTCAATCTTGGTTTCACATGATAACAGCTGCAGAACTAAAAGACTTGGTTGACTCCATGGGAAGACATTGTAAGGCCGTCATTCATGCTAAAGGTTACTCAAATAAGTATTAACTGACATGGTGATAATTTTTGTATATCTCGTTTTTTCTACGTGTTTCACTTTTCTTCTTTATACTGTAACTGCTATTCTAATATCAAATCCTTCATAAAAATTATTGCATTACATTCTTGATTAAATTATCTTTCCATTGATATATAATTTTATGGTACTACTCAAAAACAAAGTGGTGTTATTAGCTAGTTTTAGAAAATATACTTTTCCCAAAAGGTTTCCACAATTTTGGCCACTACTGTATGCCGATTAGTGTACATTCAAAGTGACAATAAAGTTAGTCTAAGTCTCTTCACTTAATCTTATTTAAACTTCCACAGCTGCTGCTTCTTAAAGCATGTCTTGGAATAATTATTTATAACCTATAAAACTGAATCAGATCAATAATGTCTTTTTTTTTTTTTTTTTGCTTTTGAACCTTCTCTAAAGGTTATGCAAGCCAATAGTTTGAATGAACGTATGCATCTGCTGGTGGAAGAATATTCTACATCCGGTCGCCTAGACAATGTCACTCAGGTCATGAGTTTACACATTCAGTACCTGGAGTCTTTTCTCCGCAGTCAATTTTATATGTTGCGTGTGGATGGTCCTCTTCCTTTGCCCTACCGGCACTACATAGCAATCATGGTAAGCCCTGAAAAAGTCTTGATTCATCTCCCGTCATAATTACATTAGTATGTTTTCCACTAGTGTCGTAAGTTAAAGCAAGTGTCACCTGAACTGAAAGGAGATAACCCTGTCACCCACATCTAGTTGATCTTTCCTTCAAGAGCTGGACATCTATCAGCTGGACCTAAGACACACAGACACACCCACACATACCAGGGATGATAGTCACTTACCTTTGCTACCGGTTCGCAAATGCGAGTGCTGAAGAGTGTTAAAAATGGGGCGTGATGACGTCTGGGCAGGTGGCCAGAGCCTCCCACAACCCCCTGGTACCGGTTCGCCCGAACCGGATAGAACGGCTGAATACCACCACTGACACATACTATATACCTAGTCTAGAGTCATAGATGGAGTTTCTTCATTTTTAACACTTTATGGATACAGTGTGCTTTGTTCACTCAAAATGTGGTTGTGAGCTATCTATGATCATTGTGTGAGATATGTGGCCAGTAATCCATAATAATATGTGGTCAATAATCCCTTAAATCAGGAGTGTCAAACTCAATTTCATTGAGGGCCGCATCAGGGTTGTGTTTGACTTTGGGGGGCCAGGGTGGGTGTGGCCAGCTTGTGTCGGGGTCGCCCGAGCGCTCTGTCAGCAAAAACGTGCTCCCGAGCTCCATTTTCAGCTACGACGGCCTCCTGCAACCCACTGCCGGTGAAAACGGAGCTCAGGAGGGCTACACATTGCCCTCCCGAGCTCCGTTTTTGCTGGCAGAGGCACCGCGGGCTGGTCCTTCCCTGTTTCCAAGGCGGCCCCATGGGCCATATCTAAGCACCCCGTCCCCCTTCTTTAAATAATACCATCCCAAACAAGGAACTCTGAATTCTGCACTTGGAATCAATTAAAACTATAATCTATAATTTTCAAAATTTTGCAATAACTAAAATACAACATTTTCAACATTCATAAATAATTTTCCCACTAGTCAAAACTTCCTACTGCAGTACAATATATTGTTATTCTCATGGTATTGGAAGAGTTATAGCTGAATAATACCCGTTTTCGTAAAGCCACAATGAATTCCTGGGAAAGGCAAAATTTAAGCAAATGGCTTTTATACTTAACAGCTTTGTGTCATAATTGTTGTGGCAGAGTTCTTAGTTTTGTACAGAACATTCATGCAGTGGGGACACCTAGCCTTAGCCGTTTTAGGCTTGGCTACACTCACATTCGGCATCAGCAATATACAGGTAGACCTCGACTTAACAACCAGAATGGAGCCCATAATTTCCTATGTTAGGTGAGACATTTGTTAAGTGAGTTTTCCCTCATTTTAGGACCTTTCTTGCTACAGTTGTTCAGTGAATCACTGCAGTTGTTAAGTTAGTAACAAGGTTGTTAAGTGAATCTGGCTTCCCCGTTGACTGCTTGTCAGAAGGTTGCAGAAGGACCCCGGGACCAGAGGTGGTATTTAGCCAGTTCGCACCAGTTCGCGTGAACCATTGGCAGAAATTTGGCCAAGGTCGCTGAACCGGTAGTGATGGCCAGCTGGCCACGCCCCCAAACCGGTTCCCTGGCCGCCACTTGCTCACCCCGCCCGCCATGTTCTTTGCGCATGCGCATCTCATTGCCTTGCAAGTCCAATGGGATGTGCATGTGCAAAGAACATGGCAGCGACAGCAGCAGATTTTTCCGCAACCTCCAGTACTTTTCAGCAGCCTGCGGCCAGCTGCCGCAGCTCCACAACAGCTCTCAAAGAGGCTGTTTTGCCAGCTGCTTTCCAGCAGCAGCGGCTGGCTGGGGGCGACCAAAAGCTCTAGTCAGCTTGCCTTCCCGACTCTGGACCAGCCGCCACGGAAAGTAAGCAACCCGACCAAAGAGGCGGTGGTGGAGGAGGAAGCGGGGCTAGGGCCGGGGCTGCTAAAGGAGGGGAAACGGGGGCAACTGGCAAAGGGAGGGCGGAGGTATATAGGTGGAAATTCTAAAAATTTTCCTAGCTTTTCCTGTGGGCATGGCTAGGTGGGGATCATGTGACTGAGTGGGTGTGAGTGATGTCAAGTTGGTCACGCCCACTCAGTCACATGCCCTCCCACCTAGCCATACCTACTGAACTGGTAGCGAAAATTTTTGAAACCCACCACTGCCCTGGACACTGCAACCATCATAAATATGAACCAGTTGCCAAGCATCTGAATTTTGATCACGTGACTATGGGGATGCTGCAGTGGTCATGAGTGTGAAAAATGGTCATAAATCATTTTTTTCCCCAGTGCCATTGTAACTTCAAACAATCACTAAATTACTAAACCAACTGTTGTAAGTCGAGGTCTACCCAAATACGTTTCACACATTTTCTTTTCTGTTAAAAACAATTGCAGCGAAATTTCTCATAAGATTTTCTTGTGGAAAGATTTGAATGCAGGTTTCTCTCTTCCTTGTTTTAAAGCTATTTTTTTTCCCCTCTTACATCTGCCTATCTGTTTTCCAATCTGCCTTTTTGGGTTTTCTCCGTAGGCTGCTGCCAGGCACCAGTGTTCCTATCTAATAAATATACACGTGGAAGAGTTCCTGAAGACTGGAGGGATACCAGAATGGCTGAACGGCTTAGAATACATTCCTCAAAGGCTGAAAAATCTGAACGAAATCAACAAGCTGCTTGCACACCGACCATGGCTGGTTTCCAAAGAGCACATTCAGGTACTTTAAAAAAAAAAAAAAAAAGAATTGGCTAGAGAAGGCAAAACCAGATGTTCAAGCATTTGCATGTGCCAAAACTTTACAGCTTTTGCAAGGGTTTGATGGGAATGAGATCTCCTTACAATTGACTTTGAGCGCTCTGTCAACTTTCTGTAAATCGGACGTCACCAAGTCACTATAAAAAAGATGTTGAGACTCTAGAAAGAGTGCAGAGAAGAGCAACCAGGATGATTAGGGGACTGGAGATTAAAACATATGAAGAACGGTTGCAGGAACTAGGCATGGCTAGTCTAGTGAAGAGGAGGACCAGGGGAGACATGATAGCCGTCTTCTAATATTTGAGGGGCTGCCACAGAGAGGAGGGGCTCAAGCTATTTTCCAAAGCACCTGAAAGCCAGACAAGGAATAATGGACGGAAACTGATCAAGGAGAGATTCAACCTAGAAATAAGGAGAAATTTTCTGACAGTGAGAACAATCAATCAATGGAACAGAAGTTGCCTTCGGAAGTTGTGGGAGCTTCATCACAGGAGACTTTCAAGAAGAGATTGGACTGCCATTTGTCAGAAATGGTATAGAGCAGTGATGGCTAACGTTTTTGCTGTCACGTGCCAAAAAAGGGAGGAGCGCCGGGGGGGGTCACGCGCACCCGTGTTCACACCCATAATTCAGTGCGCCCCGCCCCCCGCGCATGCAACCCCCTCCCCGCCCCCCCGCTTTTGGCGCGTGATGGCACAGTAGGCCCATTTTTCACCTTCCCCAGGCTCCAGAGGCGTTCTTGGAGCCTGGGGAGGGCGAAAACAGCCTCCCTTCCCCACATAGGCCCTCCAGAGGCTGGAAATGGCCTATTTCCCGACTTCCAGTGGGACCAGAAGGCCCATTTTTTGCTCTCCCCAGACTCCAGAGGCTTTCTAGGAGCCTGGGGAGAGCCAGAATGGCCTTCCCTACCCCCCGGAGGCCCTCCGGAGGCCAGAAATAGCCTGTTTCCTGACTTCTGGAAGGCCTGAAAATTAGCTGGCTGGCACACTCATGTGCACTGGAGCTGAGCTAGGGCAATGCTGGCGTGCCCACAGATATGGCTCCATGTGCCACCTGTGACACACGTGCCATAGGTTCGCCATCACAGGTAGGGTCTCCTCCTTGGGTGGGGGTGGTTGGACTAGATGACCTACAAGGTCCCTTCCAACTCTGCTAATCTGTATCTGTATCTAAGTCAGGGAATAGAAGAGCAGTCAGAAGGAACATTTATAGATGCAGCTTCTCTCCCGTCGATACCTCCTAAAGCCGTTTTTCCTGTTTGGTTGAGGGGTTTGGGGGCTTTGTTATGAAAAGACCTGTCAGGCCATGGGGAAATCTGTTTGTTTCTTTTCAAAGGAGGAAGAGGTTTGCAAGGCATGGTTTTATCATTCCAAGTGAACAAAACTGCACCTACCGAAACTCCTCCTTGCACCTCTAAGTCATGTTGCAACGCCTGGGAAGTGATAACTCACCCCTTTCTAGAGGGAGTGAGACGGAGCCAAAAGAGAAAAGTGTTTATGCTTTTGACCTTTTTTTTCCAGAAAAGAACTGGTTCATTTTACAGTTTGTTATAAACCAGGTATGGCTTGGCTTTCTGCCAATTCCACTTGAAATTTAATATGATTAAACAGTAAAATACCTGAAAACGGGCATGCACAAGGCTAAGGCCACCCTTGCCTTTTCAATGGCACCCCAGAGGCAAGATTCCAGTAAAAGTAAATTAATTTACTTTTAAAAGCAATCTCTCTAAATAAATTACATTAATACGATTTTTAAGTTTTTTATTCACGATGCTTCCCTTTCATATATAAAAAAAAAAAAATCCTACCATCTTTGGAAGGACTGTGGCTTTGTGGATGAAATGTAGCTGAGGAACCCTTATCTATAAATATTCCATAGGAGACATAGCCAACATGCACTGTTTGAGATTTGTAACCATCATTTTTGTTCAGAATGTGGGAGCTAAGAGCCCTTGAGCTTTTCCATTTAAAAAATGAATCTGTCTGAGATATCAAACCATTTAATTACAATCCTGGTTAAGCACGAAAGAGTCTTGTTTTTCCATTTTGATTTATATTTTGCAGCGGAAAGGGTGGGAAACACGCAGTATCTCTAAATTGTGCTGCAATGATTCAAGGAGATTAGACTAGAAGGCTTTCTGGCATACTCTGGTTTTGCTGCTTCCAACTCAGAAATTAAAAACTCAGCCGAGGAAAACACATCCTGCCTGTTTCTTGTGCCTATATATAAAAAACATAAATTCACATACGTAGTGTTTTTTTTTTCCCCCTCTTCTTTTGTTTCAGAAACTTGTGAAGACAGGGGAAAATAATTGGTCTCTTCCTGAACTGGTGCATGCTGTGGTCCTTTTGGCACATTATCACTCCCTGGCAAGTTTTGTTTTTGGCAGTGGCATCAATCCCGAGAGAGATTTTGGGACCTCCAACGGCTATCGCCTCATATCAGTTAACCACTTCTGCGTCTGTGATCTCGCCAATGACAACAACATTGAAAACGCAGCCCTCAAAAGTAACAGCTTTGGGGTTAGTTGTTTGAAGTTAGTTGTTCTTTTCTTGTCTCTTCTCTGACTTTTTGTTAATGTTATAAAAGCTGGCTTGGAAGGGGAGATCATTTCAGCTTGCGGTTTCCTCTGGAGTCTATCAATGCTCGGAATGCGGGAAGCAAAATGCAAACCCCAGCAGAACTAAGATCCAAGTGTTGGATGGAGAGCAGGGTCTGAAAAATCAACAGAAGTATTAGTCGTAGGGCAGTGTCAGTTCTCGGAGGAGAAAATAGCCTGGCTCGGTGGCTAAGACACTGAGCTTGTCGATCAGAAAGGTGAGCAGTTCAGCAGTTCGAATCCCTAGTATAGGTCTCCTGTATGAGCAGGGGGTTGGACTAGATGACCTCCAAGGTCCCTTCCAACTCTGCTACTGTTATTATATTGCTGGGATTCAGATGCAGACAGTTGGTAAAGATTTTGAAGAAATGACCTATTGGAAGGGAGAGGACAACATTTCCCAATAATTTTCCTTTCAAATTTCTTGGCAATAGTGATTTCCTTCTTAGACAGAAAATATCATTGAAACCCAAACTGGAAAGAAAAATAAAAGTTTTCATTAACTTTTAAAAAAAATGTTATTAATACAGATTACATAAATAAACTACAAAATAAATAGTGTAGAAAGGAAAAGAAGAAAAATAGGGAGGAAAATTAGAACATTGTAAAGAAAAAACCAAATATATAAAGAAATGAATTCCCTTTCACAACAAGTATAAACAATTTTAGTAACTTATCACCATCTCTTAAAATACAATAATCTCTTTTTCTTGTAGCTCATCTCTTATCTACTAAAAAATTCTTAGATTCCTCGCTCAATCCTCATCAGCAAAAGTCTATTAACGGGTTACCGGAAATATCAACATATCTATTTTAAGCTTGATTTTTTTAAAAAAACATTTTAAATTCATTCCTTTTAGTTGTAACAGTCTTGATCTTTAGTTCTTTCAAACTCTAATTCTAGAACTTGTTTTTTTTTTTTTCATTTTTTCCTTTGACCCTTTCACAAAATCCTTCAGAACTTTAAAAAGTATTTTTTGTAAATCCAATGTAAGAGAGTTATCCAAGCTGTTCTTTTGGTTTGCCATTTACGCATCCCCTGTAATTATTAAGACATTAGCTGGTTTCATTTGTAAATCCAGTCTAGCATCTTATTCCATATCATTCTTGTAGCTTATCATTTTTAAATCCACTTTCAGTTTGGTGTCAGTCTTATCCAGTAAAACTTGCTCTTCTTCCATAACATCTTTTAAACACAGTCTATCTACACTCTTAAAGCAGACACTCTTAAAATTGACTTCTGGGTCCATTGTTCAAAAATATCCTCCAAAACATCCAGTGTTCAAATATTCTGTCCCATTGTGTGATAACAAGTGAAATGTAAGTGTTCTTCCCTTATAATTGTAATCTTTAGTTTCTTCTGATTCCTTCTAATGTCCAAGATTCAATTTGCCATCCTATCATTTCTTTCAAGACAGCTTTTTCTAATGAGAAGGATTGTAACAATAATTTGAAAAAATTATTTCAAATCCACCATAACCCTTCATCCATTTATTACAAATTTCTGAAATCAATATTCTAATCATCCTTAAATTTATCTATGAAACTTCTTTCAAGATAGATTAAAATAGATTTACCTTGTGCATGACATCAAATTTGTGGTTCAGAAGGCTTTTAGCAGTTGAATTATAGCTAAGGAACCGTTTCAAAAAGTGATTAAAAAATATGTTTCCACAAAACTTTGTGTCCATAAGGCTATATTATGGCTGTGAACTTGACGGAAATCTCTTGACTCCCAGCCATTCTAATCATGAGCAGTCCACTTATGAGGAGCTGCTGTCTGGAGTGCAAATGGGTGATCCCATAATCTCTCCTTTATCAGAAGCTTCGTTAGCCAGAAACCCCCCATCTGGTCCCCAATCTGTTCCAGATGCTTTAATTTGGATTTTTGCATGAAGTGGAAATTTGAATCCAGTAGCCTAAATTGTATTTTCAGCTCTTTAACTCTTTTCTTAATAACTTGTCTACTATGGCTAGGAAAGAATACAATTGCCCCTCCAATTAATTTAGCCAGGAGTCTCCAAAGAATACAATTGCCCCTCCAAATCTCCAAAAAATACAATTGCCCCTGCAATTAATTTAGCCAGGAATAGAACATAAGTATCCCTCTGCCCCCCAAAAAACTTTGGTGAGTATAAAGTATAAAAAGCAGAATAGCCATATAGAATAGAATATAGAATAGGGATGAGCTGCCATCACACTCTCCAGCTCCTGCTGACCCAGCTGTTTGAAAGAGGGCAACCATGAGTAGGTAGATGGACACCACGTCAGTGGGCAAGTTAATGGGCACATGAAAGAACCCGTCCCACACAAACTGGTGTCCCCCGGGGAAGAGTGGTGTCACTGTTTAAACCTTTCAACCTGGAAGCACTTCGGTGCTCCCAACACGAATGTAATAGTAGTACTGTGTTTCCCCCAAAATAAGACCGGGTCTTATATTAATTTTTGCTCCAAAAGATGCATTAGGGCTTATTTTCTGGTTAGGTCTTATTTTGGGGGAAATACGGTACTAAATGCACCCATCTGACTGACAATCTTAACTGGGGCTTATTTTGGGGGGTAGGGCTTATATTATGAGCATCCTGAAAAAAACATGCTAGGACTTATTTTCTAGTTGGGTCTTATTTTAGAGGAAACAGGATAGTAGAATAGTAAGCAAAAATTACCGTATTTTTCAGAGTATAGGACGCTCCAGAGTATAAGATGCACTTGAGGTTTGGGAGAGGAAAATAAGAAAACAAAAATTCTGCCTCTGCCTACCAGCATCCATCGGTATTCATCTGGCTAGTGTTCTTAGCAAACAGCCTAGTCAGCTTCAGCACATTAGCCTGATTCAGCACAAGCAGTTGATTGACGGGTAGATCGGCCTCCCGGAATACCCCCAATCAGCTGTTCCCAGAGATGAACTTTAGCAACAGGTTCGCTGGTTGTGAGGCTCACTACACTCACATGCGCCTCGTTGGGGCAGATACGCAGTTTCAAAAATTCAGCTGATTGTCGCAGGCGCTCCAGTGAGTCCAGCGGGGGAAGCGCAGAACCAGTCTGACAAGGCAGCAGCTGTTCCAGGTTGCCATTTTGGCCTCTGTGCCTTGCTTTTTCACACTCCAAAAGCTCCGCTTGAGAGGCTGCCTTTGTAAAGAGAAGCTCCTTTGCAAACGGACCTTTTGGAGGCTGCAAAGGCAACCTCTCAAACAGAGCTTTTGGAGGCTGTTTGAGAGGCTCTCCGTTTGAGAGGACAGGTGGAGGCCGAAGGGTGGGGGCTGGCGGGTGGGCAGGGCTGCATTTGGTGTATATGATGCACTGAAATTTTCACCCTCTTTTAGGGGGGGGGGAGTGTGTCTTATACTCCGAAAAATATGGTAATTTCATCTCAAAAAAGAATCAATAACTGGTAACATTCTTCCACCTTGTGGTCTGTTTTAGCTCTCCGATTCATTAAGTGAGCTGGAGGCCTTGATGGACAGAATGAAGAGGCTGCAAGAGGAGGACGAGGCTTCCCCAGAAGAAATGGATACACGCTTTGAGAAAGAAAAATCAGAGAGCCTACTAGTTGTTACTGAAGGTATTACCCTCTGTGTGCTCCAGTGGAGCTCCTTTCATAATTCAGATCAGTTCCCTGCATTAAATAAAATCAAGCTAAACTATAGATGCATTTCTCACTTGCTGGAGGTTGTTCTGACATGCAGGGAAATCTGCTTTCTTCAGACTCGGAGTATTTCTAAGTGGGACACTCTTTGCATGTTCCCTTTACACCGGCAATAAATCTTTAATCGTAAAAAAAAAAAAGTCTGGAAGGCTTTAGCTCATCTTCTCTCTCTGACATGCTAACTTTGCAAAAAGAAAATGAAAACGAAATTAAAAGGTGTATGAAGAGTCTTGGAATGTTCAAATAGCTAATTCATCACTGGGAATATGAAATGACATATTCAAAAAAAAATAAAATAAAATAAAAGCTTTGCCCCAGGTAACTCAGTGAAATCTTGGAGACTTTAGTGCAGTATTTCCCAACCTCAGCAACTTCGAGATGTGTGAATTTCAACTCCTGGAATTCCCCAGGCAGTCATGTAACCCCTTTGCTCTGCGAACTGCATTGGGTGCCAGTTTGCTTCCAGGTCCAATTCAAGGTGTTGCTTATGACCTTTAAAGCCCCTACATGTCATGGGGCCCAGGCTACCTAGGGAACCATCTTCGCCCCATTGCATCAGCCTGTCCCACCCAGTCAGGCAGGGAAGGTATGTTGCTGAGTTGAAGCATTCCAACTGGTGGAGTCCAAGAAAAAGGCCTTCTTTGCCATCACCTCTGCCCTGTGAATTATTATTCCCCTGGAGATGAGGCAGGCCCCTACTCTCCTGGACCTCCCAAAAGGAGTGAAACATGGCTCTAAGGCAGGGGTGGGCTTCAAAAATTTTAGCAAGGGGTTCTCTGCCCGGTTGCTGGAGGGGCGTGGCCATGGTAGGCATGGCCTAGTCAGCCTCCTGCACCACGGCTAGGGGGCTGTTTTTCCCTCCCTGGGCTTCGGAGGTTTTCTTCGAGCCTCCGGGAGGGTGAAAATGGCCTCCCCAGGCTCCGGAGGCTACCTGTACTTCTGGTAGGCCTGTTTTTCGCCCTCCCCAAGCCTCCACGCATGCCCTGCACTTACCTGCATCCAAAACAGGCTACGTGGGGACTCCGGGAGGGGAGGGGCGGGCGGGGCCAGCCAGGAGTGGGATTTGGGGGTTCTCTGAATTGCACAGAATCTTAGAGGTTCTCCTAAACCCCTGCGAAACCCCAGCAGCCCACACCTGCTCCTTGGGTGAGGAGTGCGGAGGAACATACAGCCATGGGGCTGGTTAGCAGCCTGAAAGCACTTCCTTCACCTTTAAATGCATTTTTAAGTGCTTTAATCAACCTTGACTTCTTTTTTTAAAAAATCTTAACTTTTATATACTTTTTTATTTTTTAATATTCTGCGAGGGAGATGGAGTGCTTTCAAAATGTGGTAAATAAATAAATTTACAGCAAAGATTGGAATTTTTTTCCCCTCAGTGAAGTGGTACACATCTTTCAGCTAAATTTTCAGCCCTTAATAGAATAACAGAGTTGGACGGGCCTTGGAGGTCTTCTGGTCCAACCTCCTGCTCAGACAGGAAACCCTATACCAGTGATGGCTAACCTTTTTGCCATCGCGTGCCAAAAGTGAGGGGAGCGTAGGGTTGTCATGCACACGCGTCCCCACACCCATAATTCAATGTCCCCCATCCCCCGCCCATGCACGTGTGACCCCCCCCCCCATATGCAACCCTTGCTTTTGGCATGTGATGGCATGGTGGACCTGATAGGCCTGTTTTTCGCCCTCCCCAGGCTCCAAAGGCTTTCTTGGAGCCTGGTGAAGGCGAAAACGGCCTTCCCCATCCCCCCGGAGGCCCTCCAGACACTGGAAACGGCCCATTTCCCGACTTCCGGTGGGCCCCGAAGGCCCAAAAATCAGCTGGCCAGCGCGCATATATGTGCTGGAGCTGAGCTAGGCAACACTCGCGTGCCCACAGATATGGCTCCGCGTGCCATCACGGCCCTATACCATTTCAGACAAATGGTTGGTCCAGTCTTTTCCTAAAAACCTCCAGTGATGGAGCACCCACAACTTCTGAAGGCAAGACATTCCACCAATTAATTGTTCTCACTCAGGAAATTTCTCCTTAGTTCTAGGTTGGGTTCTCTCTGTTTCCATTGCAAAGGATCCGAACTGATTGCTTGTAAGGATCTTTTGAATTGAAGACTGGGTGCTTGAAGTTTACCTTCCTAGGCTGTGGCCACCTTGGAAATGCTTCTTGTGGTTAAATTCATGTTATACAGGCTTAAAAACAGAGGACTTGCCAAAGCTGAGCAAATGGGTGAGAAGGCAGAAAGATGATTTAGCATTTTAATTCGGGTTAGGTTAGACAAATTATGCTCACAGCCCCCAGGCATTTGCTGAATGGGGAGTTTGGCCTGGCATTTTATTTGAATGTGAAGTCACTTCACTTCCTCCAACAGAGTTCTGTGCCAGTTCTTAAACCTGGATATCCACCCAATGTTTAAACATCTACTCCCTCAATCTCTTACCTAGCATGTTCAGTGTTGAGAATTCTGAGAAATAAAATCTACATTTAATTTAATTTAATTTAATCATATTTCAATGCTGCCCAACTCCCAAGGGACTCTGGGCAGCTTACAACAAAAATAATACAAACAATGAACATATTTTTTTAAAAAAAAACATTATAAAAGCATTTTAAAAACATTAAAAACACATGCACGCCATCTATGGCCAGATCTTGCAAGATTGAACAGCAAGATCAACGGCCCCAGGCGGAAAAGCCAGGTCTTCACCGCTTTCCGGAAGGCCAATAGGTCTTCTACATATGTAGAAGACGCGTCAGATGGAGAAAGCTGGGCTAGTGGGACGAAGGAGAAAAATCTAGGCTTTCAATTATTGTAGAATAAAACATTCTCACATTCTTCCTAGGATCACAGAAGCTCTTATAAGGGAGCTACCTATGCTGACATCTTTGTGATGCACAAATTATTGCAGTTAGTCCTTGACTTAGAACAATTCATTTAGTGACTGTTTGAAATTATAATGGCACTGAAATTCACTTAACAAATGTCTCATTTAGCAACAGAAATGTTGGTCTCAATTGTGATTATAAGTTGAGGACTACCTATACAGTGGCCAACACAATAGAAAAATCCAGCCAAGCAGCTGAAAAAGCTGCATTTTGTACCCCTGCACTATGCATATTTTTTTTAAATAACGTTTTTGAAGCAAATTATCTCATACAATAAATATTTTTTATACCACTCAGAATGGAAAAGGAAGAAAAGGATATAGGCTGCAAAGACAAGGCCGATAGTGACTCTTTTACTGCTTAGTTTCTCCTTTTAATAACAAGTTCGGGTTGTTGTTGTCTTTTTTAAATGCGGTCACAGACTTCCAGAAAGCCTGTTTCAAAAGAGATGGCAGGAATCAGTCACAAAACAAAAAAGTAATTCAAGGCTTGACAACTTCTGATTTCTTAAACTGCATTAAGAAACTATTTGGATGCTTGCCAATGAGGTTTCTTCCCACATACTTATGTTTTAATTGGCTAATGAGCCAGAATAAAAAAAATAAAGGTGGCCTTGTAAATAGCTGGGCGAACTGAAGGGTTTCTTTTTAATGTGGCTACTAAGAGACACAGAGCAGGTTCCCCACCCAATTTCATTAGGATGCCTGGGAGTCAGCCCAGATGGGGAATCAAAATAATTTGCAAACACCTTTGCAGCAGTCAACCTTCCAGAAAGGGTATTTAGCAAACTTAAATCCTTTGAACGTTTAGTTGGCAGAGAGGAGAAAATGATGGAGGGTTTCTTGGTAAGAGAGATGCCCTGCCTTTAATTGTTGGTACTGGTAATCCTCCACTTACAACCCTTTGTTTAATGACTGACTGAAGTTACAACAGCATTGAAAAAGTGACTTACGACCCGTCCTTGCCCTTAAGACCATCGCAACATCCTTGTAATCACGTGATCAAAATAAGGGTGCTTAGCAGTTGGCATGTATTTATAGTAGTTGCAATACCCAGGGGTCATGTGATCACTATTTGTGACCTTCCGCCCTTTCTTTAATTTATTGAGGTCTCTTTTAAAATATTCCTACTTTGCAGCATGTGTCAAAACAACATCTCTAACTGAGATGTGACCAACTATATTTTTGCTTCATAGCGTTAGATGTAGCTCAGACAGTAACAGTTCCCTTTCTAAAATAGGAAGTTAGATTAGGTTGGAGGAAGCCAATGGGGAACCAACCCCGGGCTTATGCCCCATTTGTTAACCTACAATTGTTTTGAGATGAATCCGATGAGGAAAAAAAAAAAGGTATATTTTACTATCTGCTGTCCTTCTCTTTAATAGCGTTCGATGACGAATTAATTTCCGTGGGTGATGTTTCCTGCTATGTTGAAGACCCCGGGTTTGGTTACAAAGATTTTGCAAGACGGGGAGAAGATCATCTTCCAACATTTCGAGCCCAGGTAACTCTTACGTGACATGTGTAACTTATGGATGGAGAACCAAAATAAGAAGTAAAGATGGCAGCCTCTTGTCAGCCCTAAGTTTTTTGGAATGAGCATCCTTGGGCTTTTGTTCAAAATGACTCTGAACACAGGAAAGCTGTTCTATCCAGGCCAGAATTGAAAGCTCCTTTCTGAAACCTAACACTAGGAATCCTCCCAGCCTTACCTAGAGATGCCTGGGGTGGTCCTTGTGATTTTTTGGCATGCACTGTGTTCTCTGTCTGTGATTAATAGATTCTTAAAGAGGCATTATTGTTGGAGCAAATATATCTCAAAGGATTCTAAAATAAATTAACGTAAGGAAACCAAGTTCCCTTTTTTTCCTCCAACAATGAATTCATTCATTTACTGATGAAACTTAAGATCTTTCTCCAAACAAATTAGAACAACTTCCAGGGAGCAACCAACATTTTTTATTTATTTATTTTATATCCAATTTATATACCGCCCTTCTCCCTGAGGACTCAGGGCGGTGTACAGCCGAATAAAAACATAAATTACAAACATTAAAATAGTATTAAAAGAATATATATAAATTTGGCCCCATAATTTAAAAACAATAACAAACCAATTTAAAACATTTTTAAAAAGTTAAGCCAGCCCGGCTTGCTGAAAAAAGAAGGTTTTAAGGGCACGGCGGAAGGCACCTACATAAACAGGTAGTCCTTGACTTACGACCACAATTGAGCCCAAAATTTCTGTTGCTGAGTGAGACATTTGTTAAGTGAGTTTTGCCCCATTTTACAACCTTTCTGGCCACAGTTGCTAAGTGAATCACCGCAATTGATAAGTTAGTACCATGGTTGTTAAGTGAATCTAGCTACCCCATTGATTTTGCTTGTCAAAAGGTAGATCACATGACCTTGGGCCATAGCAATGGTCATAAGTATGAATCAGTTGCCAAGCATCTGAATTTTGATCACGTGATCATGGGGCTGCTACAAAGGTCATAAGTGTAAAACATGGTCATAAGTCACTTTTTTCAGTGCAGTTGTAACTTTAAATGGTCACTAAAGGACTACCTGTACCAGAACTGTTTAGGTCAGGTGTTGGCAACCTGCGGCTCCAGAGCCGCATGTGGCTCTTTCATCCCTCTGCTGCGGCTCCCTGTCGTGGCAGAGGGATAAAAGAGCTGTCGCCCTGTTGCGGCGGTGGTGATGGGCAGAGCCTTAGTTCAGGAGCAAAGGGCCCCTGCACTTGCCTTTGCGCAAAGCAGCATTCCGCCTTCTTCGCGGTGCATTTGCTCTTGCCGCTCTCGCAGCACAGTAAAATTTAGCACACTTCACAATGGAGAGGGGGTCCCCTCCTCCTGGAGCCCATTATGACACCTGCCCCACTCGCCCCTGGCAAGAGCAGCGTCATCGTGGGCTCGGTCCCACCTCCCAGATGTCAGTTGCTATTCCTGCAGAGCTGCCGATGTTTTGATGCCCCACCTCCCTGCTGCCCAGCTGGTCTTTGGCGTGCTGCTCCTGGGCTCTTCGGCCTCCGGACATCAGATTCGCACCACCCAGCATCAATTCAGGGGTTCCTTCCCCCACACCCAAGGGAGAAGGAGAGGGAAAGAGAGAGAGAGAGAGAGAGGGAGAAGGAGATGGAGGGGGGGGAAGAGAGAGAGAGCCACAAAATCTGGGAAGGCATGGCTGGGGGGTCATGTACCCTGTTTCCCTCAAAATAAGACATCCCCCAATCGGGCTTTTGAGCGCATGGCAATAAGGCCAAGCGCTTATTTCAGGGTTCAAAAAAATATAAGACAGGGTCTTATTTTCGGGGAAACACGGTAACTGGGTGAGTGACGTTGAGTTGGCCAGGCCCACCCAAGTTTTGTGGCTCCCAGTGTTTTCTTTTCTGTGGGAAATGGGTCCAAATGGCTGTTTGAGTGTTTAAGATTGCAAACCCCTGGTTTAGATGTAGAAAAGAACTGCTGAACCGTAAACAAATTGGTGGAATTCATTTCTTTTATAGGACTACACTTGGGAAAATCATGGATTCTCCCTTGTGAACAGACTGTATTCTGATATTGGCCACCTCCTGGACGAGAAATTTCGGATGGTCTACAACCTCACCTACAATACCATGGCCAGCCATGAAGATGTTGACACCACTATGTTAAGAAGAGCTTTATTTAATTACGTTCACTGTATGTTTGGAATCAGGTAGGTTATTCACCTGGCTGGGATAATGGATGCATTCCGTAGTTTCCGGACTTGTAATAGTTACACTCTACAATCAGAAGATGTTATGTATTGTAGTTAAACAGTACTTTTATGTTTGAAAAATTAAATATGATGCAATAGAGGCAATTATAACCATAATCATAAATATTACCCTCTGAGTGAGAGAACCTCAGTATATGTTAACTTGCATTCTCCTGAATACGAGATAGAAAGGCATAAATTACTATGCATTTATAATGAAAGAACACAAATAAACACAGTCAAAAGTAATATGATGGCATTCGCTCTAGGTATGGTAAAATCCAGCTACTATTTGTTTGTTTGTTTTCCCAAGAACTGAAGAAACGCTGTAGAATAAGGAAGCTTTCTTTTTCCATTTAGGGGCGGAGTAAATATGATGTTAACTATGCATTGTTATTTAATACTGGTAGTCCCCGACTTATGATCACAACTGAGTCCCCAAATTTCTGTTGCTAATTGCTCTGAAGCAGTTGTTGAGTGAGTTTTGCCCCCATTTTACATCCTTTCCTGCCACAATTGTTAAGTGAATCACTTGCATTTGTTAAATAAGCAACATGGTTGTTAAGTGAATCAGGCTTCCCCATCAACTTTGCTTGTCAGAGGGTTGCACATGGTGATCACAGGACCCCGGGACACTGCAACCGTCATAAATATGAGGCAGCTGAAGTTGTGAATTCAATTCCTAATGATGTTCTCTCCGTTCTAGCAAAATACGCTGGGTGAATTTGGTCCTAAGATTTTTTTTTATGAAAATTGGCTTTTTTCAAAGGCGTTTCAGGGTTAAAGGTTTGACAAAGCTAATTAAACTTACATGATACTGGAACGGTAAGATTCACAATCAGGCATTTTTATCCTGATGCGCAGTTTGAAGGGATTTTCCAAAACCCCCATCTCCCCCCCCCCCCCAAAAAAAGGAAAATAATTGCTTTTTAAAAATATCACATGCTCAGAAAATCTTAAATCTCATTTAGATACGATGACTATGATTATGGCGAAGTTAATCAACTACTTGAACGGAACCTGAAGATTTACATTAAGACCGTGACCTGCTACCCAGAGAGAACTACCAAGCGCATGTATGACAGCTACTGGCGCCAGTTCAAGCACTCAGAAAAAGTGAGTCCCTCAAACTCAGGATGTTGAACTGGATTTCTTTGAGAGCCGGATCAACATTGTAGTTCTCCTCCACGGGCCGGGGGGGAGACATGACGGACACCTCCTGCAGTACCTTGCTGGCCAAAATGGGCCGCACAGGGGCCCCGTGTGGCCCGTTTTCGGCCAGCAGAGTGCTGCAGGAGGCCATGGAGGCCAAAAACAAGGCATGGATAGGTATCTGGGAACACTCAGCTGGTGCTCTTTCATTTCAACAGGTAAAAACTGTTGAGGAAAGGTTTATCTCTAACACATTCAAACTCTGAGCCATGTGAGGCCTTATGAATCATAAGCATCTCCAATTGCACATGGAAACCTATTGGTATCCAAGGTGTAAAGTAGAATACATCTCCAGATAGAATAGGTCATTCATTTAAACCTCACCTCTTGAAAGATCAAGCACCTCTTTGAGAAACATTCTTAACACTATGAACAGCTCTCTAGCAACAGCATTTAGACTTATATACCACTTTACGGTGCTTTACAGCCCTCTCTAAGCGGTTTACAGAGTCAGCATATTGCCTCCAACAATTTGGGTCCTCGGAAGGATGGAAGGCTGAGTCAACCTTGAGCCTGGTGAGATTTGAACTGCCAATTGCAGGTAGCCAGCAGGCAGCAGGCAGCAGAAGTAGCCTGTAGTACCACACTCTAACCACTGCGCCTATATCCATATATTACCAATTTGTTTGTCTCAAAGGTGCTTTTTCAAAAGGCAACTGGACTGTTTTATTTTGAGGAAGAAAAAGGAGACTTTTCGCTTCTCCTCCAAGAAGCATCATCAGTTCTGATGGTGGTGGGATGGAAGCCTTCTTTACATCCCCCCACCATCACGACTGATGAAGCTTCTTGGAGGAGAAGCAAACAAAAAACAAAAAACCCCAGTCCAGTTGCTTTTTGAAAAAGCACCTTTGAGACAACTATGCCCCAGATGACTGAGAAATCTCCATAGACATTTACCAATTTGCTTCACTATTTCCTTAGGTCCACGTGAATCTTCTCCTGATGGAGGCTCGCATGCAGGCTGAGCTGCTCTACGCCTTCCGTGCCATCACCCGTCACTTGACCTGACGGGCCCAACGTGGTCGTAGGAGCCAAGCTTCCAAATGAGACGAGCAGTAAAATGCTCCCCTTTTTGGGGTGGCATCAGGCCTATTGGATTCCGTAGTGTTGAAAGCTGAAGCTGTGTGTCTGGCAGCTGTTTACCGTGCAATGATCTCTCGCTTTTTTTCTCTGTCCCGTCTATCTCTTTCTTGATGCTTAACTTTACTAGCAATCGCAAAGATAACACTTGTGGAATGCTTCTCCTGAAGCGGTTTCCCGTTGAAGTATTGCTCGCAAACTCCTAAGCTGGTTTGCTATCTCTGATCCTTTGCTGTGTGTTTTTTTTCTTCCCCTCGCGCTATAGTTATAGTTGAGGTTCCAACTATCGCACCCGGCCTCTCCTGTAGACGGTATCGTGCAGGGGATTTGTCTTGTCTCTTCTCCCCTCTTTCTTTCAGCTCTTTCTGGAATATTAACATGCCGTTTCCCTTAATACGGTGTACGCTACGTTTCAAGCTGAATTGCTCAGTTAGCTTGTTCTCGCATAACTCCCAAGAAATGTTAATTCTTCGGCGGTAGTTTGGAGGTCGTGTGGAAATGAATGCAACTATTGTGTTTGCCTTTTTTTTTTTAAAGAAAAATGTGAAAGCAACCGCGGCAAACCCCCGCGGCATGCTACTGACAACCCGGCATTGGAAGACTGTTTTCCTGAATGCAGTGGTTCTTCCCCTATCCATTTCAACTGTACTGGTTCAGGGACGGCCTACCCTCTTTGGCCCCTATGATTGTGTCACTTTCTGCCTCTTCCGGTATGTTGGAGGATCTTGGCAACCCAGGTTCAGCAACTCAGTTTTAACTTTGGCATGTGGGGACTTTTTTATTTTATTTTTTTTTAACCTAGTCACTTTGTAACTTTTAACTGGTGCACGGATCAGGCAGTACAAGTTCAACACGCACTGCTTGATCAAAAGGAAAAAGAGACCTACACAAAGTTAAGTTGGTTGGGTCCAAATTGGAAAGTTTGTGTTAACTCATATCGCCGGAGAGTTGAGGCCAGCCCTGCTTTTTTTCTCCTCTTCAGTTTCTCCAACCTTGTACACCTGAAGCATGGATTCTTTTGCTGATCTGTAGCAGTTTCCCTGAAAGTTTCATGTTATGCTGCCTTCCCGTTGGGTGAGATCGTTGTTCCGTCTCATCCGTTATTGTGCTTTCTGGTTGGCGGTTGCTCCACTAGAATCTCAAGGCGGGCCTCTCGAAATTCCCTTGTACAACTTGAGATCGTTTCTCTTGAGATGCCACCCACCCCTTCCACAAGCAGGGAAAGTGCTTTCGTGAAGTTACATCTTTCTTCCATTGCTGTTTCTTTTTAAAAAAAAAAAAAAAACCCTATATATATAGAAGAGTAATGACGGTGGTGTTGATTCAAACTTTTAAGAAATTTGATTCCTCTCGTATTTCCCTGAGTGATAGTGTCAGAGCAGGTTTTTATATATACATATATATATATAATCTATATTTTAAAGCTATGAATCATGTTTCTGTGTGTTGTCATGAGTGAACAAAGGAAGTGCAATATTTGAGCAGAAAGGCAAGGTTTCCCCGCCCCCCCCCTAACAAATTTCCTGCTGAAAAGTCCTGTTCAGAAGAGCCGGGGAACATCAGTTCCCAAACATTGTTCCTAACCTCGGCTTGCTTGCCTTGAACAATCACCTATTCCCACATTGCCAAAGCCGCTTATTAAAACAAAACTGGGGCAGAGCCCAGATCCCCATTTGTTTCTGTGGAGCCTCGGTTCCTTCCAATGGAGACGCCAGGTTGGGTTTCCCGAGAAGCGACTGTGGCAAAAGTGCCACAGCCGCTTCGGAGAAGTGGTACCCATTGGTGGCTGGCCTTTTTTGAGGGAAATATGTGAATTGCCAAAAAAAAATAAATAAAAAAAAAATTAAAAAGATCCCATTTCTGTGGTGCTTGAGCACACACTCTTTGCAGTTTTAGAGCACAAGTTATCTGCATTTTTAATAGCTTTAAGTGTGTTAATGTTGCGTTTCAGCAAAGTGCCTGAATACTGACCCACGGAAGCAGTGACTTTTCAGTGATGGGCTTATGCCAGGGAACGTTAGTCATAACTAAGTCCCATTGAAATCTAAGCTGCTTTGGCCCAACTGTGACTGTCTTGTCAAAGTTGACAACTTGCCCACTGCCTTCGAGTGGACTTAATCTCCCAATAAATCTTTAAGCACTGACCAACATTTTGACAACAAAGATTGTCAGTTGTGACTTAACTTCGGCTCGACTTGGTTTGATGTAGATTCTTCCCTCACCCACCCACTCACTCACCTTCCCCTTTCCTGGCTTAAGACTGACTCCAGTTTGTTTTTCTGCACTTTGGAAATGAACGAAATGGGTTTTCTAAACGAGCTGTAGAAAACAAAATAGAATCGTTCAAAAAAAAAAAAAGTGAAAGATTTTCATAATGGCTTGTTTTATAATAGTACTTTCTGTGTTTAAAAAAACAAAAAAACAAACAGACCAGACCAAGGTTATTTTGTTGAACTTTTCAAAACTTTACTTACCATCCTTTGTGATAGGATATTGTTCTCCTCCTCCCTTCCCCCCCCCCTTTCAAATGTTGAAATGATTGTGTTCACTTTCCTGTGCAGAGTTTTCTTCTGTATGTGGAACCGTAAGCTATTTTTGATATCCGCATTCTCTGGGGGATACATTTACTGTACACTACGGATTGCTATCAGCTGCATCGTTGCACAATTGTGATTTCTCTTCAAGAAATCTAGAAATTGTAAAGACCAACTTTTTAAAAAATAAATAAATAAATCTAGTATTCCCCATCCAACCCAAAACATTATCTCCCTCCTGCTGTTATATTTTCTGCAGTTCTGCCTCCTGGGTAGACATTCAGTTGAATGGAGAGAGCTGTTAAATTAAACTGGGACAAGAATGGGGACTGGTGCAGGCACCAACCACACACCGACCTACCGTACTTTTCGGCGTATAAGACACACTTCCCCCCCCCCCAAAAGAGGGTGGAAATGTTGGTGGATCTTATCCACCAATTACGCCTTTTTTTGGCCCCACCCCCCCCCCCCCCCCCACATGTCCCATTTTTGTGAAAAACAGGCCCGTTTTTGGCCTTCCAAACCTGCCAGGCATCACATTTTTGCTCTCCCCAGCCCCCAGGAGCACTCTGCAGGCCTCCCAAACCCTCTGCGTATCCCATTTTTGCGAAAAACGGGCCAGTTTTTCACAAAAACGGGATGCGCAGTGGGTTTGGGAGGCCTGCAGAGTGCTCCTGGGACCCGGGGAGGGCAAAAACTTTTTTTTTTCTTGTTTACCTCTTTGAAATCTTGGAGCGTCTTAATACTCCGGTGTGTCTTATAGTCCAAAAAATATGGTAAGCTAAGATTGTTGCCGCTGCTTAACAAACTTCCAGTCCTGCTTCCTTTGTAGGTGGAGGTAGCACACGAATTTCCTAGGCAAAGGGAGAGTTCTGCCAATTGCTTTGCTATGGCAGAAGTTTGGGCACATGTTCTTCTCCCAGCGTCGGATTGCTAGACCCAGAATCGCATTGGAGCAGTGGGAGAACTGAGCACCCTTAAGAGGGTCAGTAGCATTTTTAGCTTTGAGTGGCCTTTGGCTTTGAACAAGGGTCATGTGGGGAGAAAAAACTGATGAAGAATGGTCTCCCAATATACAGCAGCAGACCAACGTGTGGAGAGAAAAGAGAAATAGAAGCAAGGACTGATGTCTTTCCTTCTATTTGTCTCTCTTTGCTCTGTATCCTCAATCATATTCTTTCCTCCACTGGTGGGACTTGAATAACTTAACCATCAGTTTTCTGGCTGGGTAGGTGTGGCCAGTTGATCATGTGACTGGGTGATGTCACTCATCACATCCAGCCCCGCCTCCCGGACACTCCCCTCAAAGGCAGAGTTAGGATTCAGCCGGTTGGGGCTAATCCCACCACTTCCTGGCCCTGGCCCCGCCCCCGCCTGTGTTTTGGCCGTTTTTTGGGCATTTTTGGCCCGAAAAACAACCCAAAATGGGCCAAAAAATGTGCAGGAGTGGGGCCACCCAGTGGTGGGATTTGCCGGTTCACCGAACTGTGGAGAATCTTAACTACCGATTCACCTGAACCAGTGCGAACCAGCAGCAGCCTACCTCTGCTCTCCTCTTCATCACTAGATAAGAAGAGACGTCAGGAGGACCGACAAGTGATGGAAGTTCAACCTTTTCCATCACTTGCCATTCCTCCTGAGATCCCTTCAAGAAGGGCCCACTGTCCTACTGTTATGCAGATCATTTGGTCTGTCTTAACAGGGATGATTACTATATGTGATCTGGTTTCTGTTTTAGATTTTATGAGCTTTAATTTTTCTTTCAGAGGGAGATGGCGTTTTTTTTTTTAATGGAAACCGGTGTTCCAAATTCAGAAGTAGTAATGTCTTTTCTTCTAAAAATTTCCTTTTATTATAACAAAATCTTACCAAGACACAAATAGACTTTATATTTCTAAGACCGTATTTAGTTGTTGTTTTTTCCCCCCTTTCCTTAGTGAAATATCTCAGTTCTAAATTCATCAGCGGAAGCAAAATTTCACTTGGTACCTGATCTTCTTTTGGCATTTAAGGCTGGACTCTAGTCTTTTGAGAAATAGAATGGCAAGTCTAAATGTTACAAAGCATTTCCAAGTTCAGACCAATATGATCTGGTGTGATCAAGTAGAGCGGTTAGATTTATCTACTTAAATAAGTTGTAGTTGTGACAGTGTTTTTACATTGTGAATGTTCAGAATAGACATCCATTTTTACTTTGTTTTTTTTTTTTTATTTGATGTATTGCTTAAACTCACAAATGTGCCAAACTTATAAGTGTGCAAAAAGGGAGGGGAGGAGGGAAACACATGAGAAAGAATCAACTTTTAAGCATTAAAATCTAACACAATTGTTTGTTGCATAGACATAGTTTTCTGGTTTGCTTCTGGTTTGCTGCGGTTGTAGCCATCGGCAGCTGGCAGCCCATGGACCAAAATCTGTTCTGTTATCAGCTAAGGGGCAGACAAGTAACATCAGCAGTAACATCGATCTAGAGAGAAGGGTTGGAGAACCTCTGGCCTTCCAGATGTTGCTAGACTACAGTTCCAGGCATTGTGCATGACTGGCTACGTAACTGGAGCTAGAAGCAACACCTGGAGATTGATTTTTCCCCCTCATTGTTGTAGAGTTAGGCAATCCAGTAAACTTCCCCAGGTATGTGGGGGGGCAGAGGTTGGGGCTTTGGCTCTAAATAGGACATAACAAGGCCCTTACGCATTTATTCTGCTATATTCTTTGGTCAAAATCTAAATTGAATTACTTAATGATTTCTCTCCCACACCTCAATTTCTATCAGCTGCACTGAGTTTATTTTCAGGATGGGAGAGATCGGTTCACAATTAATCAACAGTTGGCCAAGAGATAATATTTCAGTAAATGGAGAGAATTATAATTTGAATTTGCATGCAGCTAATCTCTGCATCATAAAAGCACAGATTCTGCAACTGAAATAAGATGTTCTAATGCCATACTTTCATTAAATAATGGGCTTCATGGGAAATGCTCTAGTCTTCGAGTAGCTGACATGTCAGAGGAGATGCCAAGTTTCAAACTGAACAATTCAGCAGCCTGAATGTAGCCATGTAGATTTCCAGACCTCTTACATATTTTTATTCCACGACTAGATTCAGCTTCAGCTTAGAAAGGGCTGGAGTGCCATTCCGGTCGTTATTGGACATCAGGCCCCACTCATTCCTCCTGCCAGCTGGGGAATTCTGGCAGTTGAAGTCCATACATCTTAAATTTGCCAAGGTTGAAAAACACTGGTCTAAGAGCTTCTGGACTGGGGCCCTTTATAATAAGATACGATCAAATAATAAATATTTCTTTAAACCAAACAACCCCAGTTGGAACCCTTTAATTTGTAAAAAAAAATGAACAAATTCGCTTTGCAATTCCGTTTGATTTTTCAACTTTTTTTTATAGAATGGGGGGAGGGGGCTGTCGTTTTAATGTAATGTTGTATATGTGCTTTTTCTTTCTACATATATAAAGAGGCCAGTAGGACTGTTTTTTTAAAGACGCATAAGTGCAGGAGAGGTTTAGATAGATAGGATTTTTGATTCAAGATCTTTTTTCCCCCCAAGGACAGGGAATTTTTTTTTTTACATCCATTCTTTGAACGGAAAAGGAGAATCCCAGGAATTCTTTGTTCTGCTATCTGTGAAAAAATTCAAAGCAAAGTTTCAGTGCACATGAGCTCTTCTTAAGTGCTGTTGTTCAGGTGTGCTTTGATCATAAAAGAGGTGTGGCTTGCTTTAAAAGGGCACATGTTATGGCGAGGAATTGCTTAGAAGATCAGATTGTCCCGGCAAGAATTTTGCACAGAACTGCACAACAGACTTTCCACCTTGCCAGATCAGCGATGCGTATATTTCCCTCTTGAGGAGAAGACATGGCAACTGTCAAAAGACTGTATGTCTGTGGAGATTGTCAATCTTCCAGGTGGGTGGGCTTCAAAAATTTTAGCAAGGGGTTCTCTGCCTGGTTGCTGGGTGAGTGTGGCCATGGTGGGTGTGGCTAGTTGGCCTCCTGCACCACGGGGGGGAGGCTTTTTTGCCCTCCCCGGGCTCCAGAGCCTTTTCTTGAGCCTCCAGGAGGGCGAAAACGGCCTCCCTGACTCCGGAGGCCCTCTGGAGGCTGGAAACGCATCTGTTTCCGGCCTTCCCGAACTTCCGGTAGGCCCATTTTTCACCCTCCCCGAACCTCCGTGCGCCCCCTGTACTTACCTGCATCCAAAACAGGCTGCATGGGGACTCCGGGTGGGTGGGCAGGGCCAGCCAGGGGTGGGATTTGGGGGTTCTCCGAACTGCACATGATCTTAGCTAGAGGTTCTCCCGAACCCCTGCAAACCCCCAACAGCCCACCCCTGCATCCAGGTCATGATTGTCCCAAAGGTGCTTTTTTCCAAAAGGCAACTAGACTTCCTTGGTTTCTTCTTTGAAAACAAAGAAAGTCCAGTTGCCTTTTCGGAAAAAGCACCTTTGGGACAACGGTTGAAATATTTTTTCTGATTAGGTGGAGAAATCTATATGTGGAAATAGTTCTTTTTTAGAGCAGAAGCTACATAAATTCTTAGTTTGGATAAAAATTTCTCTCTGAGGTTGTGCTTTTTTAAAAAAAAAAAACCTTTCTGTATACATGCATGCTTCAAGATCTTTGAAATTAGAGCGATCAGTTATTTGGGGAAATGCTAGCTGGGGATGATGGTAGTTGAAGTCCAACATGACCAGAAGGGGGCCAGGAAAAGGAAGGTTGACTCAACCTCTTGCAGAGTACCTCTTGTCTCAGAGTGTGTGAACTTGAAAGAAGGAGAAATTGCCACGAAAGATCTTAAACAGTGGTGGTATTCAGCTGTTTCTATCTGGTTC